CACACACACACACACACACACACACACACACACACACACACACACACACATATGCACACACAACACCTTAAGTAATACTGCCTTGATCGACAGTTTTTGGGGTATTCCTTCAAACAAGCCCCCTGGGCTCCTATACGAGTCATCTATCAAACCTATAAGAAAAGGCAAACACCTGAGCTCTTTGGTTTCACCTACCTGCAAATAAAATCCTTGATCGCAGTAGAAGGAAACCATGTCGCCCACAGTGTAGCGATCCCCCACTTTGTGACCGTTACTGGGTGGCACCGGCTCTGGGCACGAATCCAAACCTATTGCTTATGACAGAGTCACAACACACAAGTGTGGACAGCGATTATTCTCCTGCACAAAATTACAACATAAAATAAAACCCAAGGCTTCACAGTACTTCATTTTCAAGTACTTATTCTACTAATCCTTAAATATATATTCAAAACATTGAATCAGTCAATGTTTTGAGAGGAAAAGGGGGAATAATTTCCTAAAAATTAAATGTACTTGTAACAACATAGCATATTATTTGTAACATTTAGAAAGCAGAGAAACCAAAAAGCTGCTTTTCTTGTAGATGTAATCACAAAGTCTGTCTGACTGTGATCTGAAGCAATCACAGCAAAATCACAAAGCAATCTCTAAAGTATTACTTGACAGAAGCATTAAGCTCTATTTGAACAAAATGATTACAGTGTCACTTGGCAGGTACCGAAAGGACTTGTTCTGTGTTTTAATGACATAAAAGCAATGGTGATGCTTTGGGCTACAGTAAATGAAGGTGGGCCATTTAAAGTAAACTAGAGAAGTTGCATTTCCTACGAAAATGCAAGTGTGAATGCCATTTGCGCAGAACTATAGCTGAAATAGCATAAGAATAGCAGAAAGTAGCAGAACTATAGCTYAAATAGCATAAGAATAGCAGAAAGTAGCAGAACTATAGCTGAAATAGCAGAAGAATAGCAGAAAGTAGCAGAACTATAGCCGAAGAAGCAGAAGAATAGCATAAAGTAGCAGAACTATAGCTGAAATAGCATAAGAATAGCATAAAGTAGCAGAAGTATAGCTGAAATAGCATAAGAATAGCATAAAGTAGCAGAACTATAGCTGAAATAGCATAAGAATAGCAGAAAGTAGCAGAACTATAGCTGAAATAGCATAAAAAGTAAAAGCTAAAGGCTAAAATAGGTGAATATAGTAGACAGCAAATGTA